AGGGAGAGAGGGAAAGAGTGAGATATAATAAACGAAGTAAAGTACTACTGAGAATAGAGAAGTGAGAAAAAAAAAGAACACGCCCCTTCCCTTTCCCCCCTCCCCCCCTCCTCCCCCACCCCTCCCCTTCCTCTTCCTCCCCCCCACTCCTCCTCCCCTTCCTCCCCCACCCCTCCCCTCCCCTCCCCTCCCCCTTCCTCCCTTCCCCCACCCTCTCCTTCCCCCCCTCCCCTCCCCTCCCCTCATCCCTCCCTCCTCTCCCTCCCCCACCCTCCCCTCCCTCCCTTCCTCGCACGCCCTTGGCCGGCCGAATAATGTAAGCGATTAGACAGATCGAAAATTCCCTACGGGCATATCGGCCGGGCCCGCGAGCCAACAAACCGCTGGCTCTTATTTATAGCGCGGGGGGGACATGGATTCTGAGAGGTGTCATTTATGCTTCTTCTTCTCCTCCCTGCTTCTTCTTCTTCCTCTTTCTTCTTCTTCTCTTTCTTCTTTCTTTTTTTTCTTTTCTTCCTTTTTCTTCTTCTCTTTCTTCATCATCTTCTTTTTTCTCTTCATCTCTTCTTCTTCTTCTTCTTTTCTTCTTTCTCTTTTCTCTCTTCTTTCTTCCTCTTCTTCTCTTTCTTCTCTTTCTTCTTTTCTTTCTTCTCTTCTTCCTCTGTCTTCTTCATCTTCTTTTCTTTTCTGTTTTTTCTTTCTTCATATCGTTCATGGAAAGGGGGGGGGAAGGGTAGGGTCCTCAAAGGGGGTAGGGAAGGGAAGGGATGGAGGGTGGAGGGGAGGGGGAGGAAGGGGAGGGGGATCTTTATCAAATCTCCGAGCGGTTCGTAAGCTTACCGGCACAACAGCTGATTGATTGGACCGCCGCGGCAAGTTTTAATTAAGCCAAGGAGAGAGAGAGAACTTTGGAATGGGAACAGGGCGAGAGAGAGAGAGAGAGGAGAAGGAAGGAAGGAAGGAAGGAAGGAAGAAGGAGGGATGGAGGAAGGATGGAGGATGGGAACAGGGCGAGGGAGAGAGAGAGGAGGAGATGGAGGGGGATGGAGGAAGGAACGAGGAAGAGGAAGGAGGAGATGGGGGAGGAAGGAAGCATTAGGAAGTAGGAGGAAGGAAGGATGAGGAGGAAGAGGGAAGCACCAGGAAATAGGATTAAGGAGGAAGGAGAAGTGAGAAGTGGTTAGGGAGGAGGAGAAGGAGGAGACGGAGACGGATGGAGGAGGAATTGAAGCATTAGGAAGTAGGAGGAAGGAGGAGGAAGAAAGAGGGAAGATAAGGAGCAAGTAGTAGGGTTAGAGGTGGAAGAAGTGGAGCGTGAGAAAGAGAAAGAGAAATGGAGAGACTTTCTCAGGCCTTTGAAAAGCAGTTTCTTAAATGCGTCATGCACTAGCCACCCCTTACCCACCCACTTCCCCCTCCCCTCACCCCTCACCCCCCCCTTTCCCCCTTCCTCCCTCCCTCTTCACCCTCCCCCTTCCCCCTTCACTCTCCCCTTCCCTCCTCCTCTTCCCCCCTCCCCTTCCCCTCCCCCCTTCCCCCTTCCCCCTTCCCCTTCCCCTCCCCCCTCCCCGACCCTAAGAGCAGATAGCCTCCCTCGACAAAGGCAGTAACAAGAAAAGTAATCACAACTATGGCCGTGCTACACAGGATAAAAATCTCTTGATAGTCGACTTCGTAAATAAAATGAGAGGAGAGAGAGGGAGAGAGAGAGGAAGAGGGAGAGGGAGAGGGAGAGGGGGAGGGAGAGGGAGAGAGAGAGAGAGAGAGAGAGAGAAAGAGAGAGAGAGAGGCAAAGAGAGAGAGAGAGAGAGAGAGAGAGAAAGAGAGAGAGAGAGAGACAAAGAGAGAGAGAGAGAGAGAGAGAGAGAGAGAGAGAGAGAAGAGAGAAGAAATTTGCATGAACGCTCCGGCAAGTGGGAAAAGTTGTACACAAGTTGTACTGTTGTTTTGTACACTGTTTAGGGAGGATGAAACCTTTGATGAAAAAGGGGACGAAGATAAAATGCGATGACATAGAATCAGAAGTTAAGATAGGGTGTGAGGGCATGTGTGTTTGATAGGGGTAGGGGTGGAGGGGGGGAGGTTCTTTGTGTGTGTGTGTGTGTGTGTGTGTGTGTGTGTGTGTGTGTGTGTGTGTGTGTGTGTGTGTGTGTGTGTGTGTGTGTGTGTGTGTGTGTGTGTGTGTGTGTGTATGTACCTGTATGTATGTACCTGTGCGTATAAGTACACGTGTTTGTATAGGGAGAGAGTTGGAATAACCGTAGAAATGCAAACCGCGCGCTGGCACTGGCACTAATCGGTGGCACTGGCTCCGTTCGTGGTGTCGCTGGGCACTTTACCTTCGCCATCACGAGGTGCTTGTCAGTTTTAGGTCCGAATTTTGCGACAAATTGAACATTCGGAGTTTTGTTTACTGCCCGTTCACCCCTCTCCCCCTCCCCCCCCATCCCCATCCCGACACCCCCTGTGGTACCCACTTTTTTGTACCCCAATTAAGGTTACCTTCTCCCTCCCCTCCCCCCTTCACCCCCTTATCACTGTGAGATGGAAATAGAATGGGAAAGGAGGAGGGAGAGGGGGGAGGGGAGGGGAGGGGGAATGGGGAGGAGGGGGGAGGGGGAGGGGAAGCGGAAGAAAGCATCTTGTTAAGAACTCCACGCTTGTCAGAAGAAGAAAAGAAATATATAAATAGAAAGAATAGCAAGAAAGGATTAAAGATTAAGAAAAGGGAAGAAAGAAAATAAGAAAATACGTGTTAATTAAAGTTCAAGAAGTGATCGCCATTTCGAACCGCTGGGAGGGGGTAGGGTGGGGGGAAGGTGGGGGGTCGGGCGAGGAGAGGAAGGAGGGAGGGGGGTTGAAGGCAAACAAAAGACAGTCGATCTGGAAGGCGATTCGACCAGATTTAAAGGGAGGGAAAGGGAGGGAAGGGTGCTGGAACACTTCGAGGGACACGGAAAAGGAATTCGCAAGATATTAAAGGCGTTGGAATCTACAGCGAAGAGAATAAAAGAAAGACGAAAAGATGGCTAATGAACTCGCTGCGAAGAGGGAAGAACACACACACGCGAGATAATAATAATGAAGAAAAAATGGGAGGAATGGAGGGTGAAAAACTCCTTTTAGAAGACAGCGAGAGAGGGAGCTGTTTTTTATTTTTTATTCTTTATTTATTTATTTGTTTTTTCATTTCGTTCTTGTGGGTGCGAAGAAGGGAAGAAGGGAAGAAGGGGAGAACTATGCACCTGAGTCCTTCTGTAACATGTCAGTTTGGAGGGAAGTTTCTTAGTCGACGTGTGGAGAGGGGAAGGGGAGGGAGGGAAGGAGGGAGAAGGGGAGGGGAAGGGAGGGGGAGGGAGAGGGAGAAGGGGAGGGAAGGGGAGAGGGAAGGGGAGGGGAGAGGGAGGGAAGGAGGGAGAAGGGAGGGGGAGAGAGAGATATAAAGGGAAAGGGAGAAGGAGAGGGGGGAAAGAAGAAAGGAAGGAGATAGAGAGAGGGAGAGGGAGACGTTGAGGGAAAGGGAGAAAGAAAGAGAGAGAGGGAGAAGTAGAAGATAGGAGAGAGAGTGGAGGGGAAGGAAGGAGAAAGGAGGGAAAAGGGAAAGAAGGGGGAAAGAGGTGGAGGGCAAGAGGCTAGAGAGAGAGAAGAAAAATGAAAAGAGCGATAATAAGAAATCGAAAGGCATAAGAAAGAAGGAAGATAAGAAAAAAAGAATAAGAATAAGAGGGATACAATTTCGAATTACATACACACATATATCTTCCAGTCAGAGCAGTGGTTGGCACAAGCATTTATATATCTCACCAGCCGGCATAAATGCTCTTATGCAAATCTGCAAATGCAAGGCTCGCAAATACAAGGTGGCAATATGTGCAAGATGGCGGGCCCGTGTTCCCTTGTAACTGCATGCTCGAGTACCCACAGAGGCGGAAGTTGTACCCGGGATACGTGGCTGTAGGTGCACCTGGCGAGGGGAACGCGAGGGGGAAGCCGCTTATTGTGAACTTCTGCCGTGCCCCCCTTTCTCTCTCTCTCTCTCGCTCTCTTTTTTTTTGGTCTTTTTTTTTGGGGGGGGGTTGGGTTGTCTTTTGTTTGTGTTTTTTTTTTTTTGTTTTTAATCTGTTTCTGTTTCTCTCTATTTTTTTTTTCTTCTCTCACTCTGTTCTCTATTTCTTCTGTCTGTCTCTCTGTCTCTGTCTCTCTGTCTCTCTGTCTCTCTGTCTCTCTTCTCTTCTCTCTCTCTTTCTCTCTTCTCTTCTCTCTCTCTCCTCTCTCTCTCTCTCTCTCTCTCTCTCTCTCTCTCTCTCTCTCTCTCTCTCTCTCTCTCTCTCTCTCTCTCTCTCTCTCTCTCTCTCTCTCTCTCTCTCTCTCTCATTTTCCTATCATCATTCCCTCTCTTTTTATCCATACGCGTTCTCGTACCCTTCATATTATTCCTTTTATTGGGTAGAGTGTTATTTACATATATTTTTATTCCTCGATTTGGGGGTGAAAATAGTCCTATCCAACAGCGGTCAGTAACTTTTTAAAAAATCACGGATATATTGGTTGTTAACAGAGCGTCGAAATAGAAAGGGAAATTTTGTTCCATTTTTTTTTCTTTCTTTTTTTTTTACTTTTATCCCCTCTTTCTCTCTGTCTCTGTCTCTTCTCTCTTTACTTAAGTTTATCGTTAATGGAAAATGTAAAGGTCAGGTTGAACTTACTTGAGTTGTGTGGCATGTGTATTTTATTATATATATATTTTATTTTTATTTTTGTTTGTGTGTGATTCAAAATCAGTGTGGTGTGAGCGTGTTTGTGTGGGCGTGTTTGCGAGTGCCTGCGAGTGCCTGCGAGTGCCCCTCTGAGTGACAGCCTGCGAGTGCCAGAGCGAGTGCCAACCCGCGAGTGCCAGTCTCAGAGTGTTGTTGAGCGATTGCGTAAAAGGCATCCGGACAGGTGCTTATAGAGTCCCTGGCCGAGCCGCCCTTGATAACCCGGCGCTGCTGTACCCTCAGGTGGAGTGCAAGAAGGCCCAGCCGAAGGAGGTGATGCTGCCGACGAGTGTTGGTCGCGGACGAGGAGGCGGGCGCGGCGGCTACGGTGAGTTGGTGATGGTGTCCCCGGTGCCACCACTCGCCACCTACCGCTACGCGCCCTACTCCCTGCCTGCCGCCGCCGCCGCCGCTGCCGCGTCCAGTCAGTTGCCGCTGACCAGCCTGCCGCAGGTGACGCCCGCGTCCCTCGGCGGCCTGGCCTCGGTGGGCGCGGCCGCGGCCGCAGCGAGCGGTATGGTGTCGGGCCACTTGGCCACGGGCCTGCCTGGCTACGGCGCCATGTACGGGCTGGACGCGGGCGTGGGCGCCGCCAACGCTATGGACATGAGCGGCTGCAAGCGAGTGGCGTTCACCACGCAGCCGGCCACCACCACCACCACTAACTCTCTGGGCTACTCCGTGTCCAACCTGCTGGGCATGCAAGGCCTTACTGTGCCCACCTACCCGATCCCCGTGGGCCTGTGAGCGCCCACGCCCACGTCCGCCCGCGCCCGGGCCCCGGGGCGCCGCGGACCCTGGGAGTAGGCGCACAAGCAGCAGCAGCAGAACCATCTCCAGCAGCCGCCACGGCCAACGGGGCCCCCCAGCAATAATGATGATCGGCCGGGGGGGGCGAGCTGCACCGCGGCCGCCCGCGGGCAGGCCGCCGTGCAGGCCGCCCTCTCCCCCACCCTGTAGCGTGTAGCCTACCATAGCTGCCGAGCCAAGCTTGCGTGCGACCCAAACTTTACTTGGCTGGTGACCGCGCGGCCCCGGTCAGGCCCCGCCCGCCCGGGTCAGGCCCGCCCTCTGGGGCCGCCCTCCCGGGGCCGCGCGGGGCGTCACGACATTCACTCTTTAGGCGGGGCTGGGACGGTCATGACCTCCTTCACTTTGTCGGGCTGTGAACTGTGCAAGGGTCCCCTGGGCACCTCACCAGGCTCTCCCCCCTCCCCCCGCGGTATTGGTACCTGTCAGGCCAAAGATTACACCAAATAAATAGTGTAGGTGATCGCGCCCACCCATGGTCACAGCCGTGTACACAGCTTATGTTGCCCTAGTGTTGTATACATCATTATCTTAGTTTTTTCTAGTCACCGCTTATCACCTTTTTTATTTTTTCTTTGCTAGTCTTCATAAATAACATTATTCAGTATTGCGTAGTTTCCCGTACTAACCAAGTAAAGTTTGAATTGCACACGAGTTGGTGTTGAGGAGAGAAGTCTCTTTATTGTATTGTTGCCACCCATCGCATGTCGGGAGCGCCTGGTTCTACTTTGGACCTTCTGCTACAAGGCCGTAAGGGCTAAGGTCCTCCCGGCGACTTACTTCACGTGGCAATGTTTATAATTACCTTATATGGGAAGGCTGGACGTTGTTCTCTACCTTTTTTTTCTTTTTTTTTTCTTTTTGTTCTTTAAAAAAGGTCGTTGCTATGTGGTTGAACTACCCAACTCTACCCACCTGGGTCAGGATGTCTTAGGGCTTTCTCTGTATTAGTTTTTTGTGCAAGTAAATAATGACAGCGTATATTATTCAAATGATTTCCAATATTATTATTCACTTCTTTCCAATGTCTATGCAATACTTATGAAAGGTTAAATATTCACTTTAATGTCAAGCTTAGATGTCTTGTCTTCCCTTCGTTGTCAAGTGCAGTGGTGAAGTTCTTGTGAAGTACATCATACTTAAGTGATAAGAAGCAATGCTACTATAATAATAATAATGAAGTGATACTGCTGTATTGATGTAAATAGGTTATAGCGCTGTTCTGCTCTCCTGTCTCATACGGGGTACTGGCATATACCACGGCCTAAGTCGATGCTTGTCCCGGGGTCCAAGTGCGAGCCGCCGCGCCGACCCACGCTCAGTGCTGACTTAGCTCCGACTTGCCCGAACTTTGTTGTATATGTATATGTATATGTATATATATGTATATATATATGTATATATATGTATATATATATTTATATATATATATATATGTATATATATATGTATATATATGTATATATGTATGTATAGTATGTTATATCATTATATATATTATATACACGCACATGCACACAAACACATATTTATGTTTGCATATTATATATATGTGTGTACACTTTATATGTACATATATATATATATATATATATATATATATATATATATATATATATATATATATATATATATTATATATGTATGTATGTATGTATGTAAATGTACGCATGTACGTATGTGTGTGTATGTATGTATGTAGTATACATATATATTATATGTACATACACATATATATGCACATATATATGTACATATATATATATATATATATATATATATATATATATATATATATATATATATATATATATCAATACAAGTTTGTGTCTGTATATTTGTATGTATACCTGCGCGCACGGTAGAGGTACTTAAAGAAGTGAGCCCGCACGGCGGCGGCGCGCACGTGGCCCCTGGTACTCACCCCTACTTATGCCTCTGGTACTTCATATTACGCCATGTACTTACGTGGACCAAGTGACTTACGTAAGAGTACAGTACTTACTAGGCCACAGTACTTACGTAGCCACTTACATGTGCTGCATAAAAAGGTTTGGATACCAATATAGGAGACTCGTATAATTTTACCTGCGTACACTTAACCCCTTAAGTGGTCAAAGGGAGTGGGATTTGAAAAAAAAAAAAAAAAAAAACAAAAAAAAAACCCTTCGGAGGCTGGTGTCTGGCCGTGCAAGGAAGAATCTCCTCCCAGGCCACGTGAAGGTGTTAACTTGGTGATAGTGTATGATAGTGTGAACATATTTCAAGCTATGTTGCAGATGTTTCCTTTTTCTGTACACTCACATTGTCTTCTATATGTTGTTGTTGTTTTTTTATTTTTAATTTCTTTTTTTATGATTTTCTTTTTTTTCTTGTTCCTCTTTTATTTGATTTTTGATTTTTTTTTTTTAATTATTATTTATTTTGTGTTTGGCTTTGCTATATAACCGCGCCCCCCTCCATAGTTGTAACGCAGATGTAGAGATGATGTAGTCTAGAGATCGCTCTGTACATTTACCCAAACTTGTGGTAATTTATCGTTTTTGATTTTGTTCCGAGAGTATTTTTCTTGACATACTGTAGGTGAGGGCGGCGCCTAAGCCCTTCACTTAACTATTGTATTATTGAGAAGTCTGTAGTTAGAGATAATATATTACAAGTGTCCTTTGAACCGTATAAACATTTTTATCGTAGTTTTTAATATGAATTTTGAGTATATATGACAAAAAAAAATAATAATAATACAAAGTCATAAATGAAAAGTAGAATTTTGAGCATCAAAAGCGAACGGCTTCATCCCTTGAGAAGAAAAAAAGTAATATGGTTTCTGGCATAATATCTGAAAAGCTGAGGATCATTTAAATCAATGTTCTATCAGGGACAACCTCTCAGGCACTTAATTTACGTATTTAGAACACGTTCAAAGTAATTTATAGGTTTTGATTTTTTTTTTTTTTTTGGACGCAAAATAAAAAAATTCGCAATAGAAATCGTGGATTGAAGGAGAAAAAAAAAACTCAAAAACTTTAAAACCAAAAAATATAAAATATACATAAAAATCAAATAAAAATCCTTTTTTGCTTTCTTAGAAACAGTATTTATATTGTTTATAATTTTTTTCTGGCGAGCAAGGCAATCCAATAATATATATATATAGCTATATATCTATTAAAAGCTAACTATGCGATCAAACTCTGAAAATCAAACCAAATATCATCCGATTCCAAAGATATATATTTTTTTCTCAAACTTTTTTTTTTTTTTTTCCTTACTAACTTAGTGAAGAGGGAAGCTATTCCGCCACCAACACGTCTATGCAGTGACGAGGTTTCTTGGGTCAGGCAACCAACGGGAAGACGAAGCTAGAACTCTGGGTATCAGTTATATACAAGAAAATAAAAATATCAAAGTTTAATGTTTAAAAAAAATAATAAAAACAGCAGACAGAATAATATACAAACACGAACACGTAGATAATCACATCGACTCTTGAATATCATTTCCAAACAAAAGATTAAAAAGCAAAGAAAATGAGAGATTTTACAAATTTAATAAAAAGAAGAAGAGAAAAGCTATAAACTAATCAAGTTTTAGTCCCCCCTTAAATAGCATGATTTTTAGAGACGCAAAGAAAACGGTCCAATTGTTCAAGCTCAAACCAAGCCATGGGGGGGGGAGAGGGGTGGGTTGAGCATACTTTCATCGTCTTAGATCAGATATTTTATACTTTTATACAGACTAGATAATTGATCTTTAGGGGACTTAGGAGGCACATCGTAATGCTTATTTTGTAAGAGTGATTATTTTTGAAGTAAATTTTTTTTTTTCATTATTTTTTTAGTCCTTTTTTGGAAGATAATTTTTTTTTTTTTACTTTTCTTAAACCTGGTAGAATACTGTATCACTGCTAGTTGCCAATCAGCGTTTGTTCGAAAGAGACGTTCTTCATTTTCATGCTAGGAGAATATTTTTTTGTGTTTTTTTTTCTCTCTTTTTGAAGATTTTTTGGAAATATATTTTTTCTTCCTTTTTGGCAGTTTGTGAGTAATAATAATTAATCCACGTTCACGGAGGGAGAGCGGGAGTGAGAGAGAGAGAGAGAAAGAGCGATAGGAGTAGGTGGTGAGGTCTAATTCAATGGATTTTGCAACATAGCACGGGTTACATAACATATATCTATATATCTATATCCATATATCTATATATACACACAGTACACACGCGCTGTGTTGGAAGGTAAAGTTTCTGCTCAATTTTTCAAGCTGAAAAACACGTCGTTTCATAGATTCCGAAGATTGAAGAGGAAAATCAAATCCTCTTAGTATTTTTTTTTTCTTCAATTAAATAGGTTTAGACGCGTGAGACTTGAGGCCTATGTCTACGTAACCATTTTTCTTAGAGTTCCTAATGACGATCCCAAAATCTGATTTCATGTTAACATAGTTTACATACATTTAAAGGATAGTTTAAATGTTACATATCGCGTGCTTCGGTGTGCACACATTTTTGTAATACAAGTAGCAGTCGGCGCACAGAGGTATTATAAATGAGATAGAGGTGAGTCACCTACAATAGATACATAAATAAATAAATACATAAAAAATAATAAATGAAGATAATCCAGGAAAAAATATATATATACTTTTTTACATTAGGTTTTTTTTTTCTCTCTCTTTTTTTTTTTGTCTTTTTTTTTTTCTCGGTAATTTTTCGGTTTTTGGTTTGGTACGGTAACATGCGACCGCCGGCCAGGAGATGGTAGACTCTCACGAAAATAGATTGTACTTGAGCTAGAATAGTTCTAGGTTTTAAGAATGATCATGCTATACAGATCTAGCCAGCAGAGGGTCAGTCTATCTATATATTCGTATATAGAAGTGCTATATATCAAAAAAAAAAAAAAAAAAAAAAAAAAAAAGGCGCGACGAGACGATACACGCCCGTTCAAAATATCAGAAAACAAAACGGAGAAGAAAGTTAGCGAAGAGTTTACTTAGCGAAACAAAAGAGAGACGTAGCGAACCCGTGCCTGCTGATTACCATTTTACTACAATTTATTGTATTTCGTCATTGTACGACATGGGGTCCATTTGTATTTTTCCTGCAGTTGTAGAGGATTTTAGCTGTGAATATCATTACTGTGGTCTTATAGCTATGGAGCGCGGGGCTGCGCGTCTCACCTCGTATGGAAGACAATGACACCACTTACAAGGCTTTTTCAGGAATGGCCTATGTGATTTTTAGTACTTAATTGGTACCAAATGACAGGGTTTTTGGTTATCATAAAATTCCATTAAAGAGGCCTTTAAATCTTTTAGTAATGTCATGTGCCAATGATAGTATATATACTAGTTTACCATAGGCATCAAGCCTTGTATTATAATTGTTGATAGAATAAACAAAATTTTGAACGTATCTTTACTGTTTGTCTTTATCTAGTTCTAGCCCCTTACTAGAGTAGTCATAGCTAGTAGAGCCGAAATAGATCTTTTAGAAAACAGTAGAGACATCAGATAATCATTTATCTTCTTTCCCTGAAGATGAAAAAATGACTAGACAACAAACCAAAAAAAAAAAAAAAAAAAAAAAAAAAGATACAAAAAAATAAATAAAAAACAAAAAAAGAAAAAGAAGAAAAAAAAAAGATGTCGCTCGAGAACTTTTTCTCTCTTTTTTTTGGTTGTGCTTCATTTCATTACATGGACAGAATAACCCAGGTGTCCTGATCTCGTAGGCGGCAATGAGCACATATATCTGTACCTCTGTATGTACCTCTCTATTCCGCTGTACCCCCTCGTGGCCAGGCACACACACTGGCTTACCTGCGGGGCCGACTATGAACTTGAAGAGATCAGAAACCTCAAAGCATCAGGTGTCTGGCCGGCCCAGTACACTCTAAGTCTAATTCTCAAAACTGATTGGCTGGTGAGCGGCATGGCAAGCTTGGCACGGCTCCCAGTGACCAATAGCGGGTCTATAGCATATTCCTTAGTGATAATTTGTTTATTTTACTCGTCCCTGTTGGACTCTTAGTAAAATAATTCAGTCTTGGAGTTCTCATGTGTTTCTCCAAAGTGTGGGCTACTCCTAAATGCAATTAGATTCAATCATTTGGGGATCCAAACCTTTTTGTGTCCAGTTTCCAATTGCAGTCATAATTGTCAACTCATATTGAATGCCTTCATGACAAGGTGTCTGATCTAGTTCTTTTTCTCTTTCCTCTCAAATGTTCTAGATCTAGTTTGGTCGCTGGGAGCTCTCCCTGATGGTATGTATTTCTTCTTGTTACTATGCTAGCCACCCGGGGTAGCCTACACAAGGTTAGCCCCCTCAGACTTGCTACACCTCCGTCACCAGTTCCGATTCTACCTTAGATAATGCTGCTCACTTAGAAAAAAATAGTAAAAAGTAATAGTAGATATATATAAAAAAAACAGACGTACCAAAAAAATACAAAGACCTATCCAATGGTAATAAATTCAATAGTAATAATCATCCTTACAAATCATAATCATAGTAAAAAAAAAAAAAAAAAAAAAAATCCAGCGAGCACAGCTCTTGTCAGACGAGAGCGGCGACGGAAACAGTGACGCGAAGGAGAACTCAGTAGGTGGAGCAAGCGGAGCACGCGTGGAGGGCCAGACGTTCCACGGGTGTTCCCTCCTTTGGGGGCCTCAGCGCCTCGTGTAGGCTCCCCCGGCGTGAGTCCCGCCACCCCTCGAGCCTGTCCCGTAGCATCTTCCACACCGCCCCTTGCTGGCTACCACCATTACTACTACTACTACTACCACACTCACAAAGTCATAGTAAAAAAAAGGGGCTTGCAAAAACCTACTCTTAGCGGCTCCCTCCTCCTGCAGGGGAGGTGGCCGAGCGAGCGGGGGCCGCCACCTGCCGCGCTGTAGTGTTGGGGCAGGTGGCTAGGGCGCCTGTCACTGTAGTACCTGGATAATGTAGTTCACCTGTCACTGTAGTACCCGCTGAACCAGTTGAATTACTTGTCACTGTGTAGTTTCATAGACAAGTGGATCACCTGTCATGTACTGTAGCTGGTGGACCGAGTGGATCACCTGTCTGTGTAGTAGCTGGTTGGCTGGGCTGCCAGTCATGCCACTGTAGCAAGTGGAGTATCTTTCAGAGTAGTACCTGGATAAGAGGGCCACGGGTCACTTGAGCTTCCCCGGCTGCAAGTGACCTGCTGACGTGGAGCATAGAAGTAGTACACAAACACTGGAACACTTTGTTTCGTTTTTTTAATATCTGATTTTTCTTCTGTCGCTTGTTTACACATTTCTTCAGCAATATTCTTTAAAAAACGTTTTTTTAATGTGTAGTATTTTAATGTGTTCCACTTGTCGGTGTAGTATTTGACGCATTGTTCCACGAGCTCTGATGAACTGTTCCTCTTGTTCCCGTAGTACCAGGTTAAGTATTCCAGTTGTGTAGTTACCAGGCAGTAGTAGTTCCAGTATTTCGTCCATCAGTGGTGTACTTAGACGGTTGTTCCACTTGCGTAGTGTAGTCGCTGGACAAGTATTCCTCTAGTCAGTGTATTACGTAGACAAGTGGCCACTGAACAGTATCATATCAGTATCTTATCCGCGTCCCACCTGTCAGTGTTACCGACCCGGGCAGCGTTCCATCTGCCACCCCCCAGCCCCTGAGGCGCCCAGAAGTCACTGTGATGGTAAATATGAAGAAAAAAAGAAAGAAAGAAAGAAAGGGAAAAAAATGCACATATTCATAAATCGGTGGAACAGAGAGTGCAAAAAAAAAAAAGAAAGGCTATAAGTAAAGCCTGTTGAGAGTACATAAAATGTGTTGAGGAAAATATCAAAACGAAGAATGACTTGCAAGAGATGTATGCAAATGTGTATATGAACAATGACAAAAGCTGCTGGCAACAGAATGAAAAAGGGGAAAAAAATATCTTATCGCAATTATTCTCAAATTATATGTGACTTGTTTACATTTTAGTCGAAAGGAGGTTCTGTAAATCCATTTCGTTCCACATTTTAAGTAGGCAAAAAAATGTCTGGTTCCACAACCCAAGGCGAGATAATATTTTTGTTCCATAACCTCTTGGGTTGTTTTTTGAGAGGTTGAGATTGTTATAAGAAATATGTTGCAAGTTAATTTAAATGTGTGTCAAGATGTCCCTCGCTTGTCATAATTATGCTTTCAAATTAATTACATAAGTTTCTTTTTGTATATACAGAGGGTTAGCATTTCTTGACAAAAGTCAATCACAAATACATATTTCCTGAAGTGAAATATCCCTCCCTTTTAATCGCACAAAACAAAAACAGAAAAAAAAACAAAAATACTGAAATAACGATAATAACGATGTTTAAAAAAACACTTCAGACTTTCAGTATGAGACCTGAGTCAACATATGATTAACTTTATACTGGGCTAATTCCCCAAGCTTTGAATAACACAAAAAAGATAAAAAAAAAAAAAAAACCTATGATATGAAACACATGCCATAAAATATTTCTGAGAACCACAGAAATCACTTGATTCTAATAATCTAGACAGATAACATATGTGGATTTTTTATTCAAATATATAAACCAGTGACAGAAACATGCATACTATGGAAGACATACACACAAACATGTGGTCAGCGAAGGGCGGTGTTTTTTTTGCCAATTTTTGAAAAGGGGGGAATTTAAAATCATCTTCCCACATTCAGATCCCCCTCGAAAGAAAAAAAAATATGCTTCCTATTTTTTCTTGTCAAAAAGAAGAAGAAAATAATGAAGCCATCGCATTTTGAGCACTATAACACTTGGTAATAGGAGCCACCCTTAACTGGTTTTGAATCCCCTCCCTCCCCCTTTTTGCACTGATAACGTTAATTAATAAATAATAATAATAAGATCAAGAGACAGGTTCGAGTGTGGCTGGTATAATATTTTTTTAATTCTCACTATACCTCAGGCACCAGCTTGGGACGAATACAATACAGTCCATCCAGTTAACAGTCAAAACAAGGAGGGCGTTAAAACCGTTACTCTTTTAAAATTTTGAAATATCACATGCTCATTGGTTCCACATTCAGGGAAAGTAAAATAATAATAATGATAAAAAATACACCCAACAACAAATATGTATTATTGTTGTTCTTACTTGTATTTTTTTTCTCTCTGTAGTTGTGTGATATATATTTTTGTTTTGCTACCTAAGTGGACAGATTCTAGAAAATTCTCTCGTGTCCTGCCCCTTAGTTGGACAAGTAGTTTGTACTAGTCACGGGTTGTTGCCAGAGGTATATCTTATAGAATTTTTTTGAGCTTTGTTATATGCCAAAACAACTTAGAATTTCTTTTTTTACGTAAACGCAGTACGAAGCTAATTAAAATATATATATATCTGATTTAGGATTGTTACTGCATGTGTCCAGTGCCATTAGTTTTAATCTAAAAGTAGGATTTAGAACCAAATCTGTTTCGCATAGTTTTTAATCTCTTTTTTTCACTTCCTTAAAAATATACGTACATAAATGTTCCTTTTTAGAAAAAATGTCGTACTCTATGTATATATATATCTAATTTTTTTGAACTAAGAATTTCACAATAATGACCACCACAAGAGCACTGAATCTAGCTTTAATATATCAAGATAGGGAAAAAATAATCATAAGATACTTATTATTACTTTGTACTGACAACTGTTTTTTTAAAAATCTGGAGTAACACCCCCTCCTATTCCCGTTTTCTTTGCAGGTATCCAGGCAGCCGCTTACGCCGCTTATGCAGGTCGCGGCTATGCCAGTTACCCGAGCTTTGGGTTTCCTTATCCAGCAGGTAATTTAAACACTGGTATAGCAGCGCTGTGTGTTCCCCACCCGGTCGATTTGGGTCTATATAACCTGCATGCCTTGCAGTTGTAACTCGCTCTGCAAATGGGGATGGCTTTCAACCTTCCAAATTGTTGTTCATTGTCAAACTCATCTTTCAAACCAAGAAATATATTTGTATTGTATGACTCCCTCTCATTTTTTTCTTTTTTCAAGGGAATCGACTCAGCTGGCCATATTTCCGGCGAGTCTTTTGAATGCATTTATATGAATATATATATATCTATTTTTTCCCCTTTCCAGACCATCCAATTTTTGGATTGTTTGATTTGCAATTATTATGTGACATTTTTTTTTTTGACTGTTCCGTCTTTTTTTCGAATGCCGTCACCCAATTGTTGAGTTTACGAGCATAGGATCTACATTTACAAAGTTTTGAAGGAAACAATTTACTAAAAAAAAACAAACCAAAAAAAAAAAAAAAAGACATAGCAACTTGAACTATTTTCCAATAGCCCCCAACCAATATTTCTACCAAAGAAAAAAAAATAGCGTTCTGAAAAGACGCATTTAACACCATCATTTTGGCTTTGATGCATGATCCATTTTCTTGACCTTAGAGCAACAAAGGCAAGTTTTAACACCCCGCAGCTGCGTGTAGACAAGGGTACATGTACTGTAATCTAGGGTCGTAGGCCTTGTGTGGTTTTCCTGGCGTAGGCTGCTATGACTGGGCAAATGACCGTAGCTTCGTATTTGTATAACACTCGATAGAGTAATTTTTTTTTTTTTTACATATATATATATACATTGTTGTTTTTTTCTATTGTTTTAATTTATGAGTTTTTTTTCTTTTGTTTATGTACTTTTTTTTTTTTTTTTACTTGTTTTCTTTGCTAATTAACCCCTTCGGCGATATGGGAACGGATCCAGATGTTGAAAGATAGAAAGAAATAAGAAGTATATGAATACAAAATATGCCATTAGGTTGGATATCTTTTCAATGACTAACCATTTTTGACGACCCTTTTTTGTTTGTTTGGTTAACCTGCTTAATCATTGAAAAGGTACCCAATTTAGGCCTTTTTAGACAAGCATTTCGAGTCCTCGTAGTTGTTTTTTTGTGTTTTTTGTTTTTTCTTTAGATGATTTTGATCAGAGAAAAAAAAACAAAAATGTTTTAAAAGAAATGAACACCTCAAAAAGAAGAACTCTCTTTAGGGAATTAATTAATCCAACAATAAAAAAAGAGATCTATGTCTATATATTAATAAAAAAGATACCATGTCATCCAAAAAGATATCAAAGAGGAAGTGTATAAATTTCTATAAATCACAACCTCTCCGCCATATCGTCGTACTGGTGTTGTCAGGAGTGAGTTGCCAAGTGGCCCCCCCCGGCCCTCCCCTACCTCCCAGGGGGCACTCACTGTCAGTAGCAGTGTGTTGGTAGTTGTAGCAGCAAGATAGTTTACGGAGTGACCTCTCGTCTTAAAAGGAGTTGAAGCTCTGGTGACTTCTCTCTGTTTCATCTTCAAGGTACATAGATACAAAATTCGTAGTTTCTTTTTTTTTTTGTTTTGTTTTTTTGGATTGCAGTGGAGTACTATGTTCTCTTTTGTCCTCATTCAGTACTCATTGTTTGTCAATTCTTCTCCTTTCAAACTCTCTTCTCTCTTTGCTACGATGACTGTAGATATGTGGCAAGTTTTTTTTTCTCTTTTTTTTGACTTTCATATCTATATATTTCTAATGAATGTGATATCAAAAGTTAGTGAAATATATATATATCAAAGCTTAACACAAGGTGTAGGTCACCATTTTGATTTTCTCTTGTTTCTTTTCCCAGGGATTGTTGGAATTTTGCCTGATGGCAAGTTTCCTTTGGGAGAATATATCGGGTTGAATCCGGCTTTAAACCTGGTTGGGCACACCTGAACCCGGCCCGCTGTAGGCCTGGCAAGCCGAGACTCTCATGCCTTGTATATAGCCTATGGACCTTATAGTGCTACCTGTGGCGCCCTTCTCACCTCTCGCCGTTCAGAACTGATTTCTTCTGTGATTATTGTTAGCATTTAACGAACAAACATATAAAAGACTCGACAAAAAAAAAATACAAAAAAAAAACAAACCAACAAGACATAACCCAAAAAATAATGATATCTTTAACCAAAAAAAAAAAGCTAAGGCCCCCCTTTACCCCCTTATTTGGAAATTTGATGGTTTTGACATGGTGATAAGATAAGACCTTTAAATAAACAAAAAAGTTCCACCTCCCTGTCTGAAGGAATCCAAGCACTAGATAAAAAAAAGGGTTAAGCTTCTTGAGGGACACTTCCTATTCCATCTTGTTGCTGCAACTTTGTGTACATAGACCTATATAATTAAAACAATAAAGGTTAATTAAAAAAGTACACCTGTAGAGAAGAGGTGTGTGTGTGGGCCCGCTTTGTTCTGGCCTGCACGGGAGAGTTCACAGGACAATAATAATGATATCACAATGATGATGATGATGATGATGATGATAACACAACTCGATATATTTTGTCATTTTTACGTCGTCGCTTTCGAAGGGATTTTTTTTTTCCTTTTTCTCTTTTCTTCTTTTTTGGTGACGACGGAAGATTCTACTGTCCCCTTTTTTGTATATATTCCTTTTTTCCTCGTACATTTTTTTTAATCAATAGGTTTATCTGGGGGGGTGAATAGAAAAAGATAAAAAAAATGGAGATTTTTTTTTTATTTTGTTGGGGGGGCATGGAGGAAAGACTTTGACAAATTTTACGGCTAAGATCTGATACCATCCCAATTTTCAGGATCCATCCACTTGCAGGACCCCCTTCCTGCAATGCTTTTATTTAAGTCACTTAACCTTAGCTATATGAAGGAGAGGGAGCTGTTTAAAGAGCACTCAAAGTGTCGACATTTCCAGGACATGTGACTGATGCAATCATCGACTAATTATTTTGTGTGTGTGTGTGTGTCCCTTTCAGTATGATTATTATACATGGATGTATACATATACGTGTTTATTCTTACGCGTACATGTATATTCAAAGTTTCTCAACAGCTTTCATGCCAAATCGAATTCAGCAACAACGAAGGAAGGTCATATCCGTGTCACTTGTTTTTTTTTTTTTTTTTAATGAGGCGGAGATGTTTAAGCTCTTGTGTTCCGCAGATTGTTTGTGGTCTTATTTTTGGGAGCTGAAGGCTTGGGCATCGGGGAGTCGCTGGCGATCAGCTGTTTCGTTTGGTTTTGTTAGTGCTGGACTTTGTGGCTATTTTTTTTGGTTTTTTGTTTTAGGGTGAGAGGGTTTTTTGTGAGTTTTATTTATTGTTATTTTTTATCTCCATCCTCTGTCTTTCCTTTTCTTCTATCACTCTCTGTCTCCTCTCTCTCTCTCTCTCTCTCTCTCTCTCTCTCTCTCTCTCTCTCTCTCCTCTCTCTCTCTCTCTCTCTCTCTCTCTCTCTCTCCCTCTCCCCTCTCCCTCTCCCTCTCCCTCTCCCTCTCCCTCTCCCTCTCCCTCTCCCTCTCCCTCTCCCTCTCCCTCTCCCCTCTCTCCCTCTCCCCTCTCCCCTCTCCCTCTCCATCCCTCATCCCTTCTCATTCATTGGTGTTTTTTTCGGTCCCCTTTTCACAAGTCCGCACAACATGCACGGCGTTCGAAAGGGCTGATCCCAAGCCGTGACTCCGTGTTTTCGCTTTTCAGTTTTGTCTAAGATAACCCGTTGGCAGCGGCATTGGACTCGCACGTTTCGGACGCCGGCGAAGCGCAGACTCGCCTCTCGGACTCTTTTTTGAAGTCCTTCGGGGAGATGGTTTTGTTTTATTAGTTTTGGCTCTTTTTTTATTTTTTTTTTTCTTGTTGTCGTTGAGAGTGAAGAGCGTTTTTTGTGGAGGTTATATTGTTCCTCTATATTGATATTATTTTCTAGTTTATTTATTTATTTATGATTATTTATATTTTTCTATTTATATTTTATGATGGCTCTTCCCCGGCTAATCGGCTTTTGTGGCTTTGACCTTTGACCTTTGACCCACCCGGCGACGCTAGGCACGAGTACCCGGCGTCCGGAAGTCGGGTCAGACCGGGTCGAGACGCGTTCATTCATTTCCTCGAGGCTGGGCGAAGGTCACACGAGACTCGGCCGCTGTGTTGACACCTCCTCTCCCTTTGTTTTATTTGTTTTGTTTTGTTTTTCCTTCCTTCCTTTTGACCCTCTTTGGCACCTCCAGCCGCCACCGCCACCGCCCCCGGCCTCCCTCCAGGCCTCCGCAACTTTCGGGGGAAAAAGAAGGGAACTCTCGGCTCCTCTTGTGACCAGAAACTCGCGAAATGGTATTTAAATGAGATGCCGCGTCCCCGGCGAGGCGTGCGAAGACCCCGGGGGAGGAGCTGAAGACCGCGGTCGGGTCTCGGAGGCGCGGCGACGTCGAGAGTCCAGCGGAGTTTTCTTATTTCTGTGATGAACATGTATTAGGTCGTTTTGGAGTGCCTTGATGTCGGGGGGTACGGCTGGGCCAAGGCACGGAGGCACGCGGAAAACTAGATTTTTTTTTAAAGACTTTAAGCGAGGGAATTGTACGTGTAGGCCTATTGAGGGGATTGTATGTAGGCCTATTGAGGTGGAGTTTGCAACGATGCTCCCCCTTTTTTTTTTTTAAGGGGGGGCTCTTTGTGTTATTTATCTTCCCGTCATGTGCCGGGATTTTGGTGATGATTGCAGTTTGTTATTGCTAGACATTTTATTCTTTTTTTTTGGTCTTTGAGTTTCACGTTGCATTTTCATTGCGGTACTTTGTTTGTTCTTCCTCTTTTCTGGCTTTGTCGTAAACAGCTATTGTAACTTGATTAAGTTAAGTATTAGCCGCTAAGGGCTGTTTGCCTTGCTTTTTATTTGCTGGAAATGTGCTACACATGGTGATTTTTTATTTTTGCTAAATTTCGTTTTATCTTATTTTTGTGCCGATTTAAGGAAGGCGCTGTTATTTTTTGGGTGCAT